AGACTCAAAATGGATAAAAGACCTAAATGTGAAACAGGAATCCACCAAAATCCTAGAGGAGAACAAAGGCAGCAACCTTTGTGACCTCTGCCACAGCAGCTTCTTGCTAAACATGTTCTTCAAAGGCAAGGGAAACAAAAGTAAAAATGAACTATTGGGACTTCATCAAGATAAAAAGCTTTTGCCCAGCAAAGAAAACAGTCAACAAAACAAGAATGCAAGCTACAGAATGGGAGAAGATATTTGCAAATGTCTTATCAAATAAAGGGCTAGTATCAAAAATCTATAAAGAATTTATCAAACTCAACACCAAAGAACAAATCATCCAGTCAAGAGATGGGCAGAAGACATGAACAGACATTTCTCCAAAGGAGACATACAAATGGCCAATAGACACGTGAAAAAATGCTCAACGTCACTCGGCATCAGGGAAATACAAATCAAAACCACAATGAGATACCACCTCACACTAGTCAGAATGACTAAAATTAACAAGTCAGGAAACAACAGATATTGGTGAGGATGTGGAGCAAGGGGAACCCTCTTACACTGCTGGTGGGAATACAAACTGGTACAGCCACTCTGGAAAACAGTATGGAGGTTCCTCAAAAAGTTGAAAATAGAGCTACCCTATGAAACGGCAATTGCACTACCGGGTATTTACCCCAAAGATACAAGTAGAGTGATCCGAAGAGGCACCTGCACCCTGATGCTTATAGCAGCAATGTCCACAATAGCCAAACTATGGAAAGAACCCAGGCGTCGATGGACAGGTGAGTGGATAAAGAAGATGTGGTGTATATATACAATGGAATACTACTCAGCCATCAAAAATGAAATCTTGGGATGCCTGGGTGGCTGAGCGGTTGAGCAACTGCCTTCGGCCCAGGTTGTGATTCTGGAGACACGGGATCGAGTCCCACATTGGGGACTGCCTCTGTGTGTGTGTGTCTCTCATGAATAAATAAATTAAATCTTAAATCTTTAAAAAAAATGAAATCTTGCCATTTGCAATGACATGGATAGAACTAGAGAGTATTATGCTAAGTGAAATAAGTCAATCAGAGAAAGACAATTATCATATGATCTCACTCTTATGTGGAATTTAAGAAACAAAACAGAAGACCATAGGGGAAGAGAGGAAAAAATAAAACAAGATAATTTCAGAGAGGGAGACAAACCATAAGAGACTCTTAATCATGGGAAACACACTGAAGGTTGCTAGAGGGGAGGAGGTGGGGGGACAGGATAACTGGGTGAAGGGCATTCAGGATGGGGTGTGATGTAATGAGCACTGGGTGTTATATAAGACTGATGAATCACTGACCTCTACCTCTGAACCAGTAATACATTATATGTTTTTATTTTTTAAAGATTTTATTTATTTGTTCATGAGAGACACACAGAAAGAGACAGAGACAGAGGCTGAGGGAGAAGCAGGCTCCCTGCGAGGAGCCCGATGCGGGACTTGATCCCAGGACCCCAGGATCACGCCACTGAGCCACCCAGGCGTCCCACATTATATGTTAATTAATTGAATTTAAATTTTTTAAATGTTGGCAGAAAAAAAAGGAAGATTTGAACAGGTACTTTAAAGAAATGAAAAAGTGAATAGTGAATACATCCGTGAAAAGATATTTAACATGATTAGTTATTAAGGAAATGCAAAGTAAAACCACGATGAGGTATCACCTTTAAAGCACTTTAAAGTGAATAGTGAATACATCCGTGAAAAGATATTTAACGTGAAGATATTTAAAGTGCAAAGTAAAACCACGATGAGGTATCACCACCGCCCCCCCCCCCACATCAAATACTGGCCAGGACATGGAGCAATGGGATCTCTCCATGGCTGGCGAGGTATAAAATCATACAACCACTTGGGGAAAATACTTTGCATTTATAAATAAAGCTAAACATCACTTATAATAAAGTAATGTTTCTTATAAACATCACTTATAATAAACTGATGTTTCTTATAAAGCTAAACATCACTTACCATACGATCTGGCTTTTCCACTCCCAGGTGTTTACTCAAGAGAAACCAACGTGTATGTCTATATGAAGACATGTACCTGAATGCTCATGGCTGCTTTATGTGTAATACCAACCACCACCAAAACCTGGAGGCAACATAAATTCCCATCGATAGGTGGATTGATAAATAAACCCTGGCATGTCCATTCAATGGAATATTGCTGAGTGGTTAAAAAGGAATGTACTACTGATGCATGTTACAAAGTGAGCAAACCTCAAGGTAATCATGTTGAGTAAAAGAAGCACAACAAAAAGAAGAGTATATGCCATATAAATTCACAGATGTAAAATGTTAGAATACACAAAATAATGTATGGAAATGGAAAGCAGACCCATGATGGCCTGGAGATGGAGCAGGGGCGTGGTGGGGAGGGCTGTCAAAAAGGGATTCCCTAAAAGTCCAGTTACAAAGAAAAAAAAAGGGATTCCCAAGGGGCAAGAGAAAACTTTTTTTAGTGTGATGAAAATGTTCATTATCTTGATTGTGGTGATGGTTTCCTTAATGATAGGTTTGTCCCTTTAAACATGTGCAGTTTAGGGCAGCCTGGGTGGCTCAGCGGTTTAGCGCCACCTTCAGCCCAGGGTGTGATCCTGGAGTCCTGAGATTGAGTCCCATGTCATGCTCCCTGCTTGGAGCCTGCTTCTCCCTCTGCCTGTGTCTCTGCCTCTCTCTCTGTGTCTCTCATGAATAAATAAATAAAATCTCTTAAAAATGTGCAGTTTAGGGGCACCTGGGTGGCTGAGTCGGTTAAGTGTCTGCCTTTGGCTCAGGCCATGATCTTGGGGTCATGGGAATCAAGCCCCACGATGGGCTCCTTGCTCAGTGGGGAGTCTGCTTCTTCCTCTTCCTCTGTGTACTCTCTCTCTCTCTCTCTCATTCTCTCTCAAATAAATAATAATCTTTTACAAATGTGTGGTTTGTTTTACACTGAGTACATCTCAAAAATAAGTTTTGGGGAATATTATATTTGGAAATTGCCTTCAAAGCCCGCCTTCCCAAAGGCATTTGATTGTTCTGTTTTTCTTATAATTGCATAACAACAAAAAAAAAGTCCAAAATTAAAGTCTACAGATCTCCTCCAGTTCCACAACTGTTGTGGGCTGCGACAATATGGCCATTTTCTTGTATGTGCCGTGGTGAGGGAAAAGGATTCATCTCGAAGGTCATTCTTCCATTCCTGTGAGTTGAGGGGTCCAGGGGGATGTTGTTGGCTTTGAGCACCAACACGTGCAAGAGGAGGAGCATCCCAACCACAGGACCGAAAAAGTCCTCTCTGTGTGTCCCCACTGTGCTTTCTAGAGCTCAGCCATCTGTAGCCACCCACCCAGGACCCCTGCCCCACACCAGCAGCAGTGTCAGGTAGAGGGCTGTCTGCACAGGTGGCACAAAGAGGGAGGATAAGGTGACCAGAGGTGTTCAGGTTACAGGGTGACAGGACCTGGGATGAGCACACTCAGCAGTCCCACAGCTGCTCGGTGCCTTGCCAGCTCGCTGCCCCCAGACCGCTGCCCAGAGACAATCCTCGGAGAATTAGCTGGAGCCGGAGAGCCCAGAGGCCACCAGCCGGATGCGAGTATGACCTGGGCACACGTGCAGAGGTCAGAATGGGGACCTGGCAGAAAGCAGCAGCTGCCGTGTCCACCCCGTGGGGGCAGCTGCACTAGTAGCCATCGGTGTTTTGCACACCCGGTAGCATGCCCGTGTGCACACCCGGTGACAGAGGCAGTGAAACACAGGGGCCTGGGCGCCCATGAGATTCCTCCCGGGTTCCCAGCATGGCTTGGCCGCCTGCCGGCTGGGTGCACAAGTGACTCAACATGCCCTGGTTTCTCCATCAATAAAATGGACATAGCAAGAGGGACCCCACGCGATCTTGCGACTTCCAGGGGCCAGTAGCTGTGAAGTGCTCACACGGGCTCGGGCACCGAGGATGTTCGCGGCGTGATTGCTGTTGTTAGCTAGTCTGTGTTTTCACAAGGCTGCTCCTGCACTTTATTTTATTTTATTTTTTTTTTTAGATTTTATTTTTTTTATTCATGGGAGACACAGAGACAGAGAGAGAGGCAGAGACACAGGCAGAGAGAGAAGCAGGCTCCATGCAGGGAGACCGACGTGGGACTCGATCCTGGGACTCCAGGATCACGACCTGGGCCAAAGGCGGCACTAAACCGCTGAGCCACCCGGGCTGCCTGGCTCCTGCCCTTCACCACACCCACCAGACCACTCAAGCCTCCAACCTCTTAACTTCTGGGCGTGCGGGCGGCTCCCTGGCTGGCACCCGCACACTGCGTTCCTCAGGCGTGGGGCTCGCCCCGCTGCAGTCTATTGCTCTAACTGCTAAGACCCTCTTGGGAAATCTGGAACCCAGGTTTTGGAGCAGGAAGGGGGGAGGGGGCTGGCCCCTGCAGGTCCTGTCATCTCCAGCAGAGGGCGACGGACACCAAGCTTTTGCCAGGCAGGGAGCCACCGGCCAGCCCCCTCTCCCTTACTGCTGCAGGGAGGGGCTCTCAGGATTCAGAGCTGCTGGTGGGTTTGCGGGTGCAGCTCCTCGCCAGACCCCTGACTTTCCTAGTTCCCACCTGCCTGGCTTCCCGGAGGAGGAGGAGCCTCTTGCCAGGAGTGGTTTTGCCTCAGTTTCCCAGCGTGGTCATCTCTGCCTCCCCCCACAGGCAGATCCCTAGCAGGAAGGCCAGGCAGGGGAGGCCCCAGGCCCAGCCCACAAGCAGAGCTGGGAAAAGCCATTCCTGTAAGACGCCGCTCAGAAGACTGGGACAGGCCATCCCAAACCCAGAGCCGCTGTCTCCAGGCAGCTGCCAATCCCCCAGGGCCGCAGGGTCACTAACTTTCCCAGAGCTTGGCCCCAGGGTGCCCCCTTCAGTCCTTGCTTCCAGACCCAAGCGGAGGACTTCCCCACCCCCTCCTGACCCAAACAGCACAAATGAAACATTAAAAAAAAAAAAAAAATCACGTCTTTATTGTTTGATTAATAAACGGGCTTGGAGGGGCAAGAGTGGGGCGTGTGGGCAACACCCAGCTCTGATTAGTCAGAAACTCCTGTTAACTGTGTACAAAATGAATGTTACAAAAATCACGTAAAAAACGGGGTCAGCAAAGCAGCAGCCTTGGGGAGGGCTCAAGGCCCCTGGGAGGCTGCGAAATGCACCCAACCTGGCCTCTGGGTCGTGGCTGAGGGACTCCAGGGACCCTGGGGCCCACACACCTGCCACCACATGTGCTCTCCTTCGTGCTCACTTTTTACTACAAGATTGCCCTCACGGGGGCCGAAACACCACAGGCCACGGCACTGCCAGAAACCAGATGGGCCCTGAGCTGAGCGCTCGGCACCCCCTTCCCGGGGCCCCAGGCCTGCTGAAGGGGCGTCCTTGCTCCCCACGCCCAGGAGGCCGGGCAGGTGCAGGACCCGGCCCCGGGGAGGGCCCTGGCTCCCCCGAGAGGCCGTGGCCGCGGGAGGCCTGAGCAGGCCCCCCAAACTCGTCAGTGCCCAGTGTGGGGAGAGGACCCACAGTCCCGTCCAGCCACCGTGATGTGGCCCGAGTGGTGCTGTCGCGGCACGGTCCTGCCCAGCGGCTGGCCCAGACGGGGGCGCTAGTTGGGGTAGCACATGCAGCATCCTGTGCCTGCCGCCTCCACGCTGGGCTTGGTGCCAGGCCCCAAGAGCCCGTCGGTGACCGAGTGCTCCATGATGATGTCCTCCACCCGGGTGATGTACAGGAATGTCAGCAGCACCCCCAGGAACTGAGGAGAAAGGGCAGGGTGGGTGCGAGTCTGCTGGGGACCCAGGTGGCTCTCCCTGGCGGCCCCCAGCCTGGGCCCTTCTGTACACGTCCCAGGAAATCCCAGAGACCCTCCCTTGGGAGGAGGCCCCTCCATCCTGGGACTCCTGTCTCCATGCCAGCAATGCCGCTCACTGTCTAGGGGACCTTGGGCGAGACACTGAACCTTGCCAAGCCTCAGTTTCCTCCTCTGTGAAATGGGTATGATGATGGTATCTACTCTCAGAATGAAGAAGACCGTGCCTGGGAAGCACTTGGAAGAGCTTCACAAGCAAACCTCTTTCCACTTGCCCTCTCTTGCCAGCCCTCCCGCCCTCCAACGGTGAGCCCAGATGGTACAAGAGCCTTCTTCACCCCACCCCTTTGTACCTCTTCTGCTCTCTGTAATCCCCAAGCCACACTCTGAACCGGCACCCTGCCCACCATTCCACTTCCAGCTCCCCTCCCTGGGTGAGGGGAGGGGAGACCAGCCCACCTGGGGGAGCAGGATGCCCAGCAGGAGGCCTGCCATGATGGTGTAGTTGTCCATGAACCAGATGAGCACGGCGTTGGTGCAGCCCCGCACGTAGATGACGTCCTGCACACTGAGGCGCTGCACGAGGAGGAGCCTGGCTGACACCTTGCCTTGCAGAGCCCCGGTGCCAACTCTGCTACTCACTCAAGGTCCAGGCAAGGCCCTCCACCTCCCTGAGCCTCCAGTGTCTCACATGCCATAGGAGCAGGTGGCTCTAGACCATTGTGTCTCCACGGGCAGTATTGTTCCCTAGAGAGCACTAAGGACAGGCTGGTGGCACTTCTGGTTGTCACAGCAGTTGGGCTTGGGGACTTGAGGGACCATGGAGCTAAGGGCAATCCTACTTCACAGGCAACTGCCCTGTCTACCTGCCTACCTGCCCCCTGGGGGCACCTAGACGGCTGAAAACCCATCCAGAATTAGCTGAGCCAAAAGGCCAACTCCAGGGGCTTATAAAAACCAAAGTGTTTTCTGCGTGGTTTTCAGGGAGTGCACAAATACACGGCACACACACACATATATCTACTGCATATAACTTTGCAGAAATACTACTAAATTAAAGAATGTAAATTAAAGAATGATTATATTGTATTTTGCTTGGAATTTTATCAACAACTGTCCACCATTTTTAAAGACTATGTCCATGGCAAAAATAATACCCAGGAGGGAGGCAAACCATAAACGACTCCTAACTCTAGGAAACAAACTGAGGGTTACTGGAGGGGGGATGAGATAACTGGGTGATGGGTACATGATGGAACGAGCACCAGGTATTCTTTGCAACTGATGAGTCACTGAACTCTACCTCTGGAACTAATGATACCCTATATGTTAATTAATTGAATTTGAATAAATTTTTTTTTTTAAATAATGCCCATGGTATTCATGTTGTCAACACAACTCCCCCCTTCCCAACCCCAGCCAACCAGGTGTCAGCTACATCTTGTGGTGCAAACACCTAACTGCTTCGATGTGTCTCCTGTTGCATCTAATGCCTGAGCATTTCCACATGAAATGTTATATGATTGTAAATTGTTCTATTTCTCTTTTTACTTCAGCTCTGTCACTTGTTCTGAAGTTAGGTGTGTGGGTAGATTATATTGTCTGTGAATTTCATTTCGAGATATCACTAAGGCATTACTAGATGATCATTATAAAACCTGGCCATTGGGTTCTGATGGCTTGAGAACCCCCGCCAGTCTATGGCTCTCCAACCAGAATGTGTGTCAGAAGCACCTGCTGGGCTCCACCCCCAAAACGTGCATTTCTAATATGTTCCCAGGGTTGCTGTCACTGCTGGTCCAGGGGCCTCACTTTGAGACTCAAAACTCACAGACATCTCAAGTCGTCATGATTTTTAGCTCCCTTCTCAGCATCACCCTAGCGTCACTCCTAGCCCAGCAGAGCCCCAAGGCAAGCTGGTGTGGGCACAGCTGGGCACACAGGCATGCTGGGGGCACCGGCAAGGGCTTGGTGGCCTCACACAGAGAAGCCCTCGTAGGTGCTCAGCAAATGCAGGCGGGCAGGCTCTCCCAGCCTGGGGGACTCTTGGCTCCCTGAGTCCTTCGGTGTCTGGGCACAGTTGGAAAACTCTGGCAGTCCCTGACTCCTGTTCCGAGCCAGGGGTCCCACCCCAGAGAACCCCTCCCATCACTCTGGTGATGGGACAGGAAGAGCGACCCTTCTCAAGGAAAGAGATTTCAAAGACATTACCTCCTTGTCGATAGTTCTGTAGCCGCACATGGTGTTGATCACTTCTGTCTGAAACAAAAATGTGTGTTAGCTGCCGCCTTATACAGGGCTTCCCATGAAGGACTATTATTCCCCCCTTTTTCCTGACATAAGAATTGGGGCACAGAGTGGCACTGCCAGTATGGATGGAGCTGAGACTCCCACCCAGGCAGTCTGGCTGGAGTCTGCATCTTAACCTCCCTCCCCCAGCACCCCCCTCCTCACCTAAAAAATGCCCAGAAGGAAAGATGGGGAGGCTAGGTCTGTGGTATTTGGGTGGGAGGACCACTCCTGTGCCAGCAGCGGCCCAGGACCCCAGAGAAAAGCGTGCTGTCCCAGGCTCCCCCGCTGCAGGCTCCCCAGGGCCGAGGCTCTGCTGACAGAGTGATGCACAGTCTCAGAGGTCGGGGCCCGGCTGTTCTTGCTCCGCTGGCTCTTATGAAGGAAAACCCCAGACCACAGCCGGGCCCCCAGCCAGCTGTGGTTTCCCTGCGGACAAGGCCGGGGCCTCCGACCACACTTCCCGCCCCGACAGACTGCCATCCTACTGGTCCAAGTGCCACCCATAGCCTTCCTGGGAAGAGCTGCTCTCAGGAGCGCCCGGCTGCTGCCTGCCCTCGGTGCAGGGAAAGCTGTGGTCGGCCCTGGATGCTGTCAAATCCCTTCCCAGTAGGCCTAAGTCGGGGGCGGGGGGGGGATGGTACTTCCCCTCACTGTCTGTGCCCTGTATAGTCTCCCCCTCCTCCTACAAAGTGAGAGGAAGCTAGATGCCCCAGTCCCACCCTCCCACATGCAACTGGAAGCCGCTGTGGGGTGGGTGCCCCGGGAGCCAGCAGTGATGCAGGAGCAGCAGAGTGGCCAGCGCGGCCTCTGGTATCATGTTGCCTGCTCTGGATCCTGCTCTGCTACTCAGGAGCTCAGTGGCCAATCCCAGATGTGCTGTCCCAGGACACTAGATAAGTATTTGTTGAATGAATGAATGAATGAATGAATGAATGAATTCCTCGGCCTCTTCCATAAAGCAGTGGTGCTCAGCAAACCCACATCATGGGGCTGTCTTGAGCATACAGTGATACACTCATCAAGGCCTTATCTCAGGGCTGGACACATAGAGGAACACAGGGGCCCCGGCTGGAGGGACTCTGCACATGATCCTGGCCCCTGGAGGGCAAGGAAGGCGGTCTACTCTCCTTCCAAAAGAGTGAGTTGGACCTCAGGCCTCAGCTCAGTTGTCAGGATCTGGCTTGTGGGCAAAATAAACTCCCTCAGTCTAGACTGTGCCCCAGGTAGACCCAAATACACCCAGCATCCGCTTAACATGGGCCAGCTTTTGTGACTCCTCTAGGTGGTGAACCCGACCCCCAAGGAGAGGGTCAGGCCTGGGAAGCAGGTGCATGACAGCAGGACAGGAACGGTGTTTTCTACCTTTCGTGTTTGTTCTTTCAGTCGTTCCCTGAACAAATATTAACCGAACACCTGTTATGTGCCAATCACTGTTCTAGGTGTTGGGAATGTAGGGGAACGAAGAATGTCTTTGCCTTCATGGAACTGACATTCTAGAAAGGGAAACACACAATGAACCTAATAAGTGAGTCAACCACACAGTACATAGAAGGTGACAAGAGTAACTACTCTGCACTGTGCTTCCAGTTCTGGGGACAGAGCCCCAGGTGGGTTCTCCTTAGAGAAGAGGTTGTTTCTCTTGCCTTCAGGGAGCAGACGTGCAGCTGGCAGAGGCCTCCTTGCCACCGCCCAGAGCCCGGACCCCTCCTCCGGACTCGCCTCTCCTTCCGGGAGAGTCCCCTCTAAGGAGGGCGGGACGAGGCATCCATGCTCTTTCCTAAAGGTAAAGCCTGCTTAGGTTTGATCACAGAACCACTCTTCTCCAGAGGCTCTGCTGATGGTGCACAGGTCCTGAGAGCCGCTCTGCGGTGGCCTCTTCCACCTGGGACAGGGCCACGGACAGGCGGTCAGGAAGGGGACTCCCAAGCATCCCAAAGCCGGACATGGCAAAGTTCACAAGGGTTCTTTATGTGTGCTTCCTCTCACTCCGGCACAGGCCTGATGAGCTGGGTTGTCTGAGGTCTGAGAAGCCAGGGGGAAGGGAAAGAGAGGCCTGCAGGGACAGGCCCCCAAAGGGTAACCAAAAATGAGAGGGTGGATAGCTCTAAAAATTGGACACAAGAGCTCAACAGGCATGGCTGTCAGAGGCCATTCAATGTAGAGGCAAACTGCCCTCCACACCAGCGAGTCTTGGGGACATCCCATAGGATAAGCACATTTCACAAGCCTGTGTGAACTCTGTTGCTTCAAATCCTCTGCAGGAGACGAGCAGAGACATTCCTTTTAAAGCTTAGAGCTAGGGAGAAAAGTGACTTTCCCTGAAGAACGGGTTTGCTTTCTTCTGTTGAACAGTAGCAACGTAACAGACCATGTGTCCCCTTTTCCTCTGGCTGCCAGGAAGCTCTAAACCACCAAGCACAAGGCTCTAGTTTCTAATTTTTTTAAATTTTTTTTTCTCTTGTGTGTTCATTCAGATCTGTGGCTAAATGAAAAGAGTGTACAATAAATAGATTGGTATACAAATTCACGCACAGATTCACAAAGGGAGGAAACACCCTCTTTTCTAAGGAGAACCCACGGTGGTTTTGTAGTACAGGACCACAGGTACCCCAGTAGGTGAGCATCGCGTCTCCACCTCGGGCTCCCACCCAGATGCCGGCTCTATAGTCCATTTCTCTGCGGGTGGCATCCGTGTTGATACTCCCCGCCTGGACTTCTCTCCCAAACGCCCTAGATCCAAGTGCCTCTTTGACATCACACACAGTCTACCTGTCCACACTGAGCTCATCCCTGCTGTCCTCCCCTTTCAGGCAGTGGCAGCTCCATCTTTCCTTGTGGCTCAGGCCAAAATCTGGGAGCCCTCCTTGATTTCTCTTTCTCCTACTTCCCGCATCTGATCCGTCAGCAAATCCTGTTGCCTTATATATAAAACAGAGCCAGAATCTGACCAAGTTTTACTACCTCGGCTAAAGCCTCTGTCTTCTCTGGCCTGATGTGACTGGACTTCCAGGAGCTTCCTGGACCCCCCGCAATGGTGGGAGCACATTCAGCAGGAGCCTTGGCTGCCAGTCTCCTGTGGTGATTGTCACATGCGGTTAATTTTATGTGTCAACTAACCTGGGCCTTGAGGTGCCTAGATATTTAGTCAGACATTATTCTGGGTATTTCTGCGAAGGTGTCTTTCAATGAGATTGACATTTGAATCAGTAGACTGAGTTAGGCAGATGGTTCTCCCTATAGTGGGTGGGCCGCACCCAATCAGTGGAAGGTCTGAATAGAACAAAAGGGCTGCCCGTCCCCTAGGGAATCTTCCCTTTCTTCCTGCCTGCCTGATGCAGACCTGAGCCGCCACACTGGCTCTTCCTGGCTCTTGAACCTGCCAGCCACATCTGCTCTCCTGGTTCTCGGGCTGTTGTACCCAGCCTGGAACTAAACCACTGGCCCTCCTCGATGCCCAGCTTGCTGACTCAACCTGCAGATCTTGCTTGCCAACCAGAATCTCAGGGCCTGCTTCCCTGACAGCCTGGGACCTGTGACACATGGACCGCTGCAGACTCCCCATGTCCACCTCTGGCCCCCACAGCAGAGGGACCCTGGTAAAATCTGAGTCAGATCTGCCGCCACTCAGCTACTAAAGCCCTTCAGTGGACTCCTCACCACTCATGGGAATACCAAAGTCCTGACCACGGCCTTCAGGGAACCCGTCATCTCCCTGACCTCATCTGCTACTGTTCTCCGTGACGCCCGCTCTGCTCCAGCCACATTGGTCTCTGTGCTGTTTCTCAAATGCACCAGGGCAATTCCCACCTGAGGGCCTTTGCACTTGCTGTTCCCTTTGCCAGGAATGTCCGTCCCCCAGATATGCATGGCCCACTCCTTCACTTCCTTCGGGGTTTTACTGAGAACCTACTTTTTCGGTATCTAAAATTTCAATCCTCCACCCCCCTGCTTTATTTTTCTCCTTAGCATTTACCACCTTCAAGCATACTGCCTCTCACTCGTGTATTTTGTCAGTCTTCCTGACTAGAACACCAGTTCCATGCAGGCAGAGAGTTTTCCAGGTGTTTTCTGTACGTACCCCCAGAACCCAGAATCACATCTGGCATGAATGGCCTCGATGAATATCTGTTGAATGAATGAATACATGTAGGCTTGGACAGCTTGACATGGACATTCAGGTGCCACTGTCCTAGGGGCTGAAGTTCAGGATCACCCCCCACAGGCTTCTCTGAAAATGCCAGGCTCTTACCCAGCACTCCCCCTTCCCAGAAAGTTATCCTAAAATGGCAGCTAAAATTTCTAAACAAATCTTCCCTCCTGATCCAGGCTTTTTTAGGGCTTGTGCACTTGGCACCGGCTCCCTGACTCATGGCCGAGGCCTGCACCCCCACTGGCAGCTGCGTGGTTTACAGAATCCAGGAGTGGGCACAGAGGGTAGAGATGTTCGAAAAGAAATTTTCCATGACTCTTCAGGGCATGAGTAATTGCAAAGCTCGCCACCTCATTCCAATCCAGAGACGAGGCAGTTTTTGGACACATGAGTCCAACAACACAGAGGACTGACGAAGCCACTCATCAGTAAGTGGGGACTCCGTGGGACAGCCCCCCAAGTAGTCATGGAGGTGAAGAGCTGAGTGGGGATCCTGCTGGGGAGAGGCAGGGCTGGCATGTACATCACCAGACCCCTTCCCAGGTGCCCTCCAGCGAAGGCTGCGAGCCGGCCACCCTAAGCTCCCTCTGGCCTGGACCCTCTCCATGCCTCACCCGACCCAGGTAGGAGTCCAGAGCCCGGGTGTCACAATGGTGGCCTGCATTTCATCCCAGCCCCGCCAACCCCGGGCGAGGCAGGCACCTGATGCTCTGGTGTCCCCACTTCTTCATCTGTGCGGGGGGCAAAGCAACAGGCCCCACCCCACGGTGCTGTGGAAGGAGCTGAATGTGTGATGCTGCTGGAGAGCCCAGGACGGGCCTGCGCGTGGCAAGTGTTCAAAGACCATTAATGGCCACTCCTGGCAAAGCCGGCCTTCCCCGCCCGCACCCCCGCCCCCACATGTAGCCCTTCCCACGGCCTGAGTCTCCAGGGCCACCGCCTCCTGCCCCCCCCAGCCCACTTCCCGATGGGCCGGGTGGCCCCAGGAGCAGCAGGTACCGTGTTTCTGACGCAGCAGGTGTAGGGCACCCCGCAGGCCAGGGGTCCGGGGGCGTTGCAGTCGTGGTACTGGTTTTTGCTCCAATCCCTGTAGTCTTCCCCGCCACAGCACTTAAACTGAGAGGAAGGCAAGTGGGGAGAGGGCTGCTGTCACCATGGGATCCCAGGCCCACGCCAGGAAGGGGCTCCACCGGCACACCCTGGGGTTTACACTCGGGTCACCCGGGGGCAGGGGGGCCCCCGAGGCTGCAGGTGTCAGGTACTCCTGTGCTTCCTGGCCCAGCTGCCTGGGAGGTAATGAGCACCCCGTCACTGGAGAGGCGTGCAAGCCAAGGCTGGGCAGCCTCTTGGGCGGGGGGCAGCTACCAGGGGGACTAGATACTGGAGGGAAAGTCTCCCTTGATGCCTCCATCTCCATGTCCCAGGGCAGTGGCTCAACCCTTGAAGGTCCCAGAGAGAAGGAGTCTATGGATGCCCCCACAGCCCAGGAGGCATCCCCAGGGGCCCCTAGTACCCCCTGCCCCTGCCCCCAGCCCAGCTCTGTCTATCAGCCCTTAGCAAAGGGGCACGCACCCTCCTCAAGTCCTGCCTCGGGGTCAGGGCCGAAGGGGCAGCAAGGTGGGCCTCATTCCCCCCTTAGCTTAGCTTCTCCCCACACTGCCCCTCTGCCCAGGGAAGCAGTGACTCCACTGAGAGGTGGGTGTGTGCCAGGCGTGCTTGTGGGCACTGTGCTGGGGAGACAGCGAGTAACTGCTGCATGGAAAGGCCAGTGGGTAATGCTGTGTGCCAGGGGCGCAGGAAAGGGGAGAAGGGAGCTGGGGGGGCAGCTGAATGTTGGGAGGTCAGGAGAGGCCCCCCCCTGAAGAGATGACATTTAATCTGAAACATGAATAGCAGGAAAAAGCCAGGCAACAGTGCACAGGCCCCGCATAGGATGAGTGAGCTGTGTGTTGGTGGCAGGCACGGAGGCCAGGGTGTCTGGAGCGGGGCGAGCAGGAGGGGAGGGATGAGGTAGGGCGGCCGGCCTAGGCCACACCATGCCAAAGTCTAGTCGGTCAGAATGGGTGGGGAGCTGGGATCATATTCTGTGATGGGGGGGTCACTGGAGGGTTAGCTAGGGGAGTGATAGGGTCAGAGGTCCCTGCAGAAACACAGAGCCCTTCAGGCTGTCAGCTTCGAGACCTGGAAGCTCCCCCCCCCCCCCCCGCACCCCAGCCCAGCTGGGTGCAGTTCCAAGGGCATTCGCTTTGCAGTCCATTCAATCCCTCATGCTACCATCTGTCGCCGTGTGACTCTGGGCAAGTCGACCAGCCTCTCTGGGCTCATCTGCAAAGCAGGAGGAGCACTGCCAGCTTTGCACAGCTGAGCCGAGGATTACCAAGTCAGGCCATGCATGATGCACTCAGCCTGGGGCTTGGCACCAAGCATGAGTCACCCCCCATCCCACCCCAGGAGAAATGAAATCCCAAGCCACTGGAAGGCCGGTTCCAATAAAAACATCACATTTCACCCGATGGCCAGAGCTGGCCGACACACCCCTGGCAGAGAGGGGCCTCCCGGAGGCTGCACCTGTTGTGACTACAGCGAGGACCTGAGCCAAGGGAGTGGCCACCACCGGTGGCTCTGGGCGCGATGAGGTTTGGTTCTCACTGAGGGCTAGCACGGGAACCAGGCCAGCCGAAGCCCCCAAAGCCATGTCCCAGGAAGCACTGTCAGGGCCGAGTGGGCCCACGGCCCTCACCTTCTGCTTGCCCCCCCTAGAATGCGGCAGCGGTACTCACAGGACAGGTCTTCCCTGTCACTGTTCTAAGGTGCCTGTCACTGCTCTAAGGTGCCTGGCACTGCTCTAAGGACTTCCACGTTGAGTCAAGCAATGTCACAACGACATCAAGACATCAAGAGGAAGGGATCACCTGTACCCCCCCGCTGCAGTTGAGAACCTGAGGCTCAGGACTAAGTGAGATCGATGTGTAGACGCCATCCCGGGCAGTGCTGGCCTGCCACTGCTATTATTATAACACCAACAGACATGGGTGGACCTTAGTGGGGAGGGTCAGTGTCCCCAAATGATAATCACTGTATTCAAAAAATGCTATGGAGGAAAAGGAGAAGTCGTGTTTTGCTCCTCTATGCAGGGGAAGCGGAATCAGGAAAGAGTGCTCTCTACCTCAGGGCCGTTCCTGACTTGGCAGGGAGTGAGCTCCCTGTCACTGAAGAGATTCAGCAGAAAGGTGTCTGAACTGAGCACCTTGGAGGTCTTTCCCACCCCAAGGAAGAAGTATCTCTGCCCCTTGGAGAAGGATACCCTGGGATCCTGCAAAGTGGCTTGTGGCTAGAGCTGATATTCTTCTTCTTCTTCTTTTTTTTTTTTTTGGATGAGGGAATAGCTAAGTAACTAAAGAGGGACACAGAGGGTAAGGATATTCTGGGCCAGGCATGTGGGCAGAAGAGTGGTTAAGCAGGTCAGGCCCCAGCCTTCACACCCATCCATGGCCCGCCATTGCCTCCCAACTTGGCCAGCCACTTGCTTTGGGAATGGATAAGCCACTGCTCCCTCACCCTCACCCTCGCCCTCTTGAGCAGTGTCCCGAGCCAAGGGCAAAGGGCTCGGCAGGTGCACCTCTGACCCACGGCACCTAGCTCACCTCCTTCTGAACAAAGTCCATGATGTTTTTGAAGTCCAGATCATCATAGTAGTTCTCGATTCCTCTTCGAATGTTGTCATTTAGAAGGTCGATGGTCTATTTTGAATGGAGACATTACAAAAAAACCAGGCCACACCCCACCCCCTCAAAGTCCAACCCAAGATCTCCCAGAACTCGGGCCTGGAACAGGGTGCCCACATGGCCAAGTAGCCCCCACCCCACCTGCAGGAACACCCCACCACCTCCCTGCCCACACACCCTCTCCCTGCCCCGGTGCCCCTCTGAGGCCTGGGTCCCTTTGCCATGTCTGAGCAGGAGTGATTCACCCCCTTTCCTATACAGATCAGAGAGCCCAGGCCCCAAGAGATGGCACCCGGCCAGAACTGGGCAGATTCCGGCCTGGTGCCCTTTCCTCCGCCCAAAGACAGGCCCCAGCTGAGTCTCTGTGCTCCAGACCCCTCTGCACTCTTCTCTGCCCGAGCTCTTGTGCTACGGATTAGGACACTGAGGCCCAGAGAGGGCGGCGGACTCTCCTGGGGCCCAGAGCAGGCTAGGCGGGTGGGTCTGGCCAGGACTGGGAATCAGCTCTCCTGATTTCCCCCATGGGCCACGCTTCATCGCTGCAGGGCCCTGGCCAGGCCCCCTCGGAGCTCGGGCGGGGCCCAGCCCCATGGAGAGCAGCGCTGGCACATCGCCCTCTCCCGGTCACGCTGGGCCTTCTGGATCAACAGCCCGGCTGTTGTGCTGAAATCCAGGAGCACAAAAGGCCCCATAGCGGGAAGGGGTGGGGGCGGGAGTGTGGGCGGCCCAACCCCACGCTCTGAGCCACAATCAGGGCTTTCAGAGCAGGGAGGCCCTCGGATCACCAGAGATTGTGCTGGCACAAAGGGGGCATTCTTGGCTCTGGAGCCAGACGATCCCCTGGGGAGGCGCCTGCAGGCACTGCTGGGCAAACAGGGCCCTGGGTCCCAGGCCTGGTCCTGCCACTGCAGGCTCCACCCCAGCTATTTGCCCTCTCTGAGCCTCAGTTTCTCACTTGTGAACCACACCTGCAGGCCTATCCTTGAAATAACCTCCAGCTATGAGGATCAGACTAGGCTGAGAAGGACCATCAAGCCTCATGGTCAAGAACAGTTCCAGCAGCCACCCGGGCCTCAGATGTCTCCTTTAGCATCCAAGCCTCTACTTCCTCACCTGCCAGGTGGAGAGGACAACCTCTACCTCGTAGGGATTTGAGTCTAGATAGACTAAAGCTATAAATGTGCTCAGCAAGGTGCCAGGCACATAGTAGGCCATGGTATTATTAAAGGTCTTTCTCTCCTTTTCCAGGAGGCACACACCCTATAGCATTGCATCATAAGTGGAAACGGCTAATCCCAAGGTTCAGTTTGGGGTAATCTCCCCCAAACCACGTCCAATATCAGAAAGAGGGGGAGAGTGTATCAGCTGCCTCCTTCCCAACACTCACAGTGCTCACAGTCAAGGCAACAAAGGAAACCAGCTCAGGGAAATCTGTCTCCGTGGCCAGGAGAAAACCTTCTGCTCAGGAAGATCAGCCACTCAGAGGTGGACAGGGGAGCCAAGAACCTAATAGCAGCCCCGGGGGGCAGAGGGTAGGCCCTGTCACGTGTGAAAGACCATGCACGCACTTGCCGGCCTCAGTCCTATATTGACCCCAGGGCAGGGGCTTGCTGGTCACATAACCTGAGCAGAGCAGGGACCCCGTGGCCTCAGGGCCACCCTTCTCAGAGGCCCCCAGGTCATGAAACTTTTCCAATCTGGGGTTCCTGCTCCTCCAGGGGATGAAGGGACAGGCCAGCCAGCTGGGGCATGGTTGGGGGCACCTAAGAAACAAGATGCTAGGGTGGGGTCAGTCCACTCCCCAGGACAGGGTAAGGGAATGAGCTCATGGCACTGAATGGCATGGGAGGGGGTCATCGGCTGAGCACAGGTGCAGAGGGGTGATCCAGGAGCACACGCATAGGGCTGTGTCAACTTCTTGCAGTCCACTCTCAGGGTCCTGCAGACACAGTCCTGGTCTTCCATGTCCCTCTGCACCCCAGCCCAATGGTCATCTCCCAGCCCCTCCCCTGGGTCACATATTGTTTGGACTCCCCCAGGCCTGGAGATAAGGAGTCAGGGAATGAGGGCAGGAGGCCAGGGCAGGGTCAGCAGAGGGGATCCCCAGTGGCCTGATGGGGAAAGGCTCTTCCTCCCTCTTCAGTAAGCAGCTCTGACCTTTCTCTCCAAACTTACTCAGTCTCTGGGTACTTTCCAAACATGCTAAGTCCAAAAAAGGCCTCTGTGACAATCAGGCCTCCCATCTGGTAAGCTGAGCGGGGCCCCCACAGGGAAGGGAGGCCCCGCTGGAGGCCCCTCGAAACGGGCAGGAGGAACAGATGGTCCCAGGCTGCGTGGACAGCAGCTGCCCCTGGCCCCTCGGGGACCTCTTTGGATCATGCTGGCTCTTGTGCTCTTTTGTGTGTGCACTGCCTTTGGCACCATGCATGTGTGTGTGTGTGTGTGTGTGTGTGTGTGTGTGTGTGTGTGTGTGAGGGGGGGGGTATATACCAGAGATGTAAGGATACTTCAACGGTCCTTTTGCCGTGATAAGGCTACAGATGAACGAGTGAGACAAGCTGGTTGCATGGCTCATGAATTTAACTGTGAAGTGCTCTGCTGTGTTCAGCTAAGTTCTGCCGTTCTGCGGGACTGGGGGAGCCACTCTGAGGACCCCAGCAGGGGGTCCTGTTTTGTGGACCCCAGCAGGGAATCCTGACTCCTCTGCTGCTCTCAGAGACCAAGCACCCAGTGCCTGCCCCCCACCCCCAGCCCCCTAATCCAGCTCACAGCAGCAAAAGCAGCTCCAACTAGGGCAAGAAAACCCACCTCGCATGCAAGGCTGGTGTGGCCTCAGGGGCCACTAGGCCTGGGCTAAACCAGGCAAAGAGTAAGCAAACATCAAAGGCCACAGGATTTTCAGAGCACATTGTTTAAACCACCAGAAGCAAGCTACAAAGAGCTGTCCTTTCTAGTTTGTTCTTTTAAATCTAGTTTTAAAGCTATCCAAAGCCTCCACAGCAGGGTTTCCAGTAAAGGTGCTCAATGTTTTTAAGTGATGGAGGAATCAAGGGGGTGGGGTAGGTGGCCAGGCTGGGAGGCTGAGGAGCAGGGGGAGGAGAGGGGGGTGGCAGGGCAGCAGAGGGAGCCTCTCTCTTGGCCTCCCTGGAAGGAGCTTCCGGGGCTTTCCCCCTGAGACCCAGGCTGCAGAGGCCCGGCTGTCAGCAACCCCGCTGACACTAATACCAATCAGCCCAGTTCTCACGGTGTACAGGGGGTGCTTGGCCTAGGACTTCCTTCCTTCCCTTGCACGTGAACCAAACAAGCATCTCTGGGCTTCCCTCAGTGCCCCAGACTGTGGGGATGGGTCCTATTGCCTCCAGTACCGAGACAGACTCAATCTAACAACCAAGGCCTAAAGAGAACCCAGGGAGCAAGAAAAAAGGAAGAGAGAAAGCTACAAGGTTCTTTGGAATATTTGCTAGACCCTTCCTCCAACCTGGCCGCAAGTCACAGGTTTAATCCTGGCGGGGAGAAGAGGTCTGCTTCAGCTTCGCAGGTACCTGGGGCTCCAGCTCTCACTCCCACATGCTGTCCACGGTGGAGCACACGAGCTGGGAGAGGCTGCTCAGATCTCAGTGCAGAACCTCCTCTACTTTGCTGCATCAGGCGGCAGGATATATGTGTGTCCTGTGCTCCACTGAAGGGGCCACAGTGTCATCTTTCTCCTACCTCTGGCTTCGAGGGTATGTCCAGAACCATCTAGCGCCAGGCTGGGTGCTGTCCACTGTTCCCTGGTTCCATGTTGGGGGATCAGCAACCTCTGATCAAGGCCAGGAAAGAGGCCACTCCCCACCCTTGCCTTGGCAGTAGAGGAAAGGTAGAGGCCAGGAGGCCAGGGCTGGGGGTACAAATGTACCAGCTACAGCCTAACACCCTCTGGGTGTCCCGCTCAGCTCTGCCTAACTGGGAACACATGGGCAGGAGCTGCCCTCCCCCAACACCCCTGATACCCCCAAGAGAGGCCCCAGAACAAGCTGGAGAGTACTGGTCAGTCAAGGTGAGACCCAGACAGTTGTGGAAGTCACTCAGGTTCACCTCGTACCATCAGGACACTGCCCTTCTGATGCCCGGGCCCTTGGGGCTCCATGGCGGGCTCCCCAGAGCACAGCCACTAGACTCCCTACAAATAGAGAAGCCACCTGAGTCTGACCATTGAGTCAGGCCTCCTAGCAGAAACCTTGCCAAGGGTCAGGGATGGAGAATCTCTTCTTTATGTCCATGCACCTGTTGATGTTTTGCTGCCAGCGGTGGCCATGGCCAGTGCCCCTTCCTGAGAACCGAGCGTGAGGTCATTAGCCTAATTTGTCCTCATCTGACACCACGAGTGGATTTGTAGACTTAACAGGTAGCCTATGGGGCCACCCCTGTTATAGTATGGCTCAGAGAAATGCTTCTCCTCCTCTTGGCAAGGAGGAAATGGAACTGGGAACTCACCTCCCTCTGGCAGCTGACCTTCATTACCTCCCACCTTTTCTCTCCACGCTGCCCCTTCCTGCTGCCATCAACAGCCAGGCTGCTCCCCTAGCCTCAGCACTGGCCAGTCTTATAGTTTACATTAGAGTTGGAAAGGACATTATTTTTCCATATATGGTATTTTCCTCCGCGATTATAAGGAAATGAAAATTGGAGAGCTAAGGAAAAAAATATCAAAAAGAAAATAAAAAGCACAGCCTGGGTGGCTCAGCAGTTTAGCACTGCTGTCAGCCCAGGGTGTGATCCTGGCGACCCGGGATTGAGTCCCACGTCAGCCTCCCTGCATGGAGCCTGCTTCTCCCTCTGCCTGTGTCTCTCCCTCTCCCTCTCTCTCTCTCTCTCTGTCTCTCATGAATAAATAAATAAAATATATTTTTTTTTAAAAAAAGCACCCTAGCCTCACTCCTTAGAGGAAATAAGAGTTAATATGTTAATATTTCTATTTTCTTCCAGGTTTTTCCAGGCCGATTTTTTTTTTTAGAATAGAGCTCTTACCGCAT